AGGTTTTCTTCTATAAAATTAACCGATTCTAGACTAATTCGACTTAACATTTCCAAAACACGTATAATTTTTTAGGAATAATCTGTATAAACTATGCTATAAACAAAAAATTATAGGATTACTTACCGAGTGTGCACCATTCGACTACGCCCGTTGTTCAAAGCTTGTCATCGTCGCGGAACAGCACACGAAACGGCGGCCGCGATTTCTGATAAATAATTTTTCGCAGAAAAATAACTTGACCTTTGGAGACATCATTAATATAAATAATTTTTATGGCCGTTGAATAAGAAGTGTTTCTTTCACAAGAAATGTATAAAATTAGTGCTGTATTAGACTTACGGTACCTAATTTACATACTGAACAGACGATAATAAACTCAACTTAGTACCTAAAATCTCCATAGCGCGGCGCCACGCTCGACGGCGGAAATTACGTATTTAATTATTATTATAATTAAATACAAGTTACAATAAGTTAATATATAATTATATATACAGTACCTAATTTATATATAATTAATATATAATTATATGTACAGTATCTAATTTATATGTAATTTATATATAATATTGTACAGACGATAGCAAACTCAATTTAGCCGCTCCGTAGCGTAGCGCAGGGTCGGAGGAAAGTAGTTCGGCTGCTCATCCACTATTGGTCCAGATTCTATCAATCTTGTCGCGAAACGACGTTATAGGAGGTACTTTATACGAATGTTGCTACAATTTTTTCGCTACGTTATAGGAATTGTCGTTATAGGAACGCACGTTATAGAGGGGTCGACTGTATATATATATATATATATATTGCAATTTCTATTTATGTATTTTTAGCTTGGTTGATTTTCTATTTATGTATTATATTCTTTTTTCGTTATAGGTCTTGTTATTTATTTGCAGAGAAGATCTGTCCAGCGACATTTTTTTAATGTAGATGAAATAAATAAATAAATAATTATTTTCAAATTATATAGTTAGGAATTTGTAATTACAGGTGTTTTTCGTATAACACGGTAATTGTAAATCATGGTTTGAGAATTGGGTACAACTCATTTTGCTCTAACACAGTTAGAATATAGAAGACATCCCGTACAAAAGTCGTAATTTCCAATTGCAAACACCATCATTTGATAAATTTTCTTATTCAAGCAAGCAGTCCTGTTGTGTCATATTTTCCATGGATTTTAAAATATTAAAATTTTTAATGTTGTTTCGTGTCTTTCACCGTGTTTTCTTTAATAAAGCTAATTATACAATTTTTGTTTTTCCTTTCCGAGCTTCCTATTCTAGCTTTCATATAAGTATAGCTATCGTTGCTGATAGCGCTGTAAATAAAATGAAAAATCTGTCTCCGTGTTTTGTTTTTATGCAATAAAAAGTTAGTAATGTCAGAGTCAATAGATTATCTGGTCTCTAAATGCCTATTGTTTTTACAATTAAAGGTTGATATAACAAGCGAGTTTGTCGATAGATGTGCTATGTTGTTTGAGCTCGTGGGTTGTTTATTTCCTATACAGAAAAAGCATTGTCTCTGTGTAAAATGTTATAATATCACTAATTGTATAATCTACTGTATTTTATAGAGCTAATCTTCGTATAAATGTTCTTATTTAATAAAAACTAGTTAAAATAAATGAACATAATTTAATAATACAAAACAGAAGAATCTCTTAAATGTAATGATTATTAATTAATTTATTTAAACTTTAAATCTTAAAATTCTATTTTAATTTTCTGTTTTAACATTTTACTGATATTACATGTAAAGCGTATATATGAATATGATAAAGTGAGGGATAAAATTATTAGACTCAATAATAATGTTTTAATAATAATGGCAAAAGGACTTTTTGCACCATGGAAACAACCAGTTTACATGGATTTTGATGTTAAAATGAAAAAACAATTTAACATTTTTGTTAATATTAACATCTGCTCTCGTACGAGCAATATTAACGAATTCGTATCAAGTAAAAAAATTCAAGTTTAAGCTTTGTTTCAAATTTACATTTAAATTAGCACGTTTTCTTTATTAACGAGCGAGTTTTTTCGCTTTCACTTACGAAACAATCGTAAAAAATATTACACTATATATAATAATACAATAGAATAAACTGGATTCCATCAAATAATTTTATTTCTTATATGAAGAAACATATACTGTCATATTCTTTTACAAATTTTGCTATTAATAAAAACTAAAAAATTGAAAAAAGTTATAGAAATTTTGAAAAAGCTTCCTGCTTTTAAACTTTTTTAAAAGTAAAGTTTTACATTACAATATATATATTCTATATCTTTAATCAACGGAGCAATTTCTCCGAAAGTTATGGCCATTCCTTCATCATGTATGTAACGTGTTGCCAAATTACTAATTCGTATGGGACTTTTCGGAATGTCATCTTCATTAACTTTAGCTATCACACGAACTATGGAAGATTTCGGAACATAAATGACTCGATTCAATTTAACGTATCCACTTTTATGACAAATGGCTTCATCTTGTTTTTTGATTTTTAAACCATCACCATGAATAAAATTCTTTATTCTTATTCTGATTATTTCTTCGCTGTTATGAGAAATAGGAAGTATAATTCCAGTGAGAAAACAATCTTCTACGACCCATATTTCAGAAATGAACTGAAACTTGTTTTCCATATTCATTTCTTGATCGAGAATGAAAGAACTTCGATTACAATATATGAACCAAGAAGTAGGTTTTTCATTGTTCCTGGAGACATCCGTTCTACAAATGCTATCTGGAATCATTGAATTGTCAGATGTTGCTTTGTAGTGTTGTATGGCATTTACTTCTTCTTCTGTTAAAAATTGTTTCGGATATACATAGCCCTTTAAAAATCCATCATCCATTGTAAGAAATCGAATGTTGATTAAGAATGGAGCCATGATTTTCCGCAGGGATGTATTCGAGTTAACTCTACGTCTTGCCCATTCGTAAACAATCTTAAAGATAGTCCGTTCCACCAAAGTATGATATATAGGACGAGATACGAGTCTACGAATCACAATTTCATCACAGTCCAAAGCGTTTTTATTTCCATAAAATACTGTGTACCAGTCATTGCTAAATTTCCTCCAGCAATAAATTTGTAAGTCATAGTCCGTATTTTGGCATGCGAATTCGTAAATTTCACAAACATTTGGCGTGAAAACAGGGCGAATCATATAATTTCGACAGTAACGTATTAAATTAAGTATTTTCAATATTTTGCTAATTCGATAAACGTCCATTGCAGATTTCAAAGAGTAAAAGTTTGGCTTTTCTTCTTTCATAAATCTGTATATTAGGAAACCATGACAATTAAGATTAGATTAGAATGCAATATTTAAAGATATATTTAATAATATTATATTTTTATAAAAACGCTTCATTGTCAGAGATTAATTAGTAATATTTAGGCATAATAGACTATACAAAAATCCACTTATTGTCGTCATTTTGGGACTCGTCTGTACTGATAATAGCATAAATGATTTCAAAAAAAAAAGTCTACATATGTATTAAAAATAAAATTATTATAGAATTCAATAATAAAAAACTTACTCATCGATTACCTTCACATTTTCGAATGCATAAGTCAAGTAAAAGGTAATAGATACGTTGTATGTAAATGGCTTCAATATGCAACTTAGTTTTGGACTGTATTTACGAAACATTGATCGTGAAACGGATATTTCTCTTCCATCCATACAATGTATTTTAATTGATTCCATTATAAATTCGTATGCCAAATTAATGAAATTTTATTGAATACACTTTTGGATAAGAAGAGAAGAAACTATTGTCGATAAAGACTATTGTTTCGTTATAAATAAATATTTGTTTATGCGATTCATTCTAATTGTTTAATTCAACTAACTTGTAACTTTACTTTTTTATTTATCGTTTATCTATTTACCTCAGATCCTTCTTTCACCGTATAGCCAGAAACATTAACAACGTAGAAGACATACTTCATGTGTAATTTTTACGTTATAAAGTTGATTATAAAGTTGATTTTACGTTACGTTGATTTTAATTTTATGTATTATATTTTGTCTTATTTGTTATGGTTCTTGTTATTTATTAGGGGAAGAGATCTTCTGTCCAGCGACATTTCCTAAGGTAGACGAAATAAATAAATAATTCTTTTTAAATTACGTAGTTAGAAATTTGTAATTACACATATTTTTCGTATAACACTACAATTATAAACCACGGTTTAAGAATTGGAGAAACATGCGTATAACCCATTTTGCTCTAACAGTTAAAATATAGAAGACATTGCCATGAAATTCCCAATTCCCAAGTGCAAACACAGTCATTAATACATTTTTTTATTCAAGCAAGCATGCGTGATGAGTCATATTTGCCCATGGATTTTACAGTATTGAAATTTTGAATGTTGTTTTGTGCCTCGTTTTCTTTAATGAGGTTGATGATACTATTTCTGTTTTTCCTTTCCGAGCTTCTCTTTCTAGCTTTCATATAAGTATAGCTGTGGTTGCTGATAGCTCTGTAAATGAAATGGAATGACTATTTCTGTGTTTTGTTTTTATACCATAAATTAAAAGTTACTAATGATGTCAGAGTCAATAGGCTATCTGGTCTCTGAATGCCTATTGTTGTCATTCTTAAATGTAGAGGTAATAAACAAGTTTGCAGATAGTTGTGTGAACCCCGGGGAGGTTGGAGGTCTCCCGTTCCGGCGACAGGTCGTTAAACCTGCTCACTGTCAAAATGGCAAAACTTTTTATTTATCCCACGATGACGGGATTCACTTGTTCGGGTCGAGTGGAGGAAGGATGAGTGCCGTCGGTAAGGTGATAGACGATATACGAGTAAACGAGGAAACAGATTTTAACAAAGAAACAACAATTTATTAATTCTATATGCGGGTGGTACATTAATCTAGTTTAGAGGACAATTTCTAAGTCCCTAAGGCGCGAAGTGACCGAGAGAGAGTTCACAAAGATTTGTTCCATACCTCTTCATGTCTGTAGTTATCCTTGGGGAAAAAATTATACAGTAATACCCCGACTTACGCGAACCCGGAGTTACACGATTTTCAAATCTCGTCGATTCGTCGTTTGTTTGAGCGCCACGCAACTCTTGATTACTCATTCCCCCCACACTATTGTTCAGCTTACGTGTTTGGACGTGTCGCGCGGAATTGACATATAGCTACAATTTATTTTGTGTTATTTATTTATGTGTTTGTTATATCT